CTAGCTTCTATGTACATGTTTTATTTTTATTGATATTTTCTGTTTCTTACATCACCATAATTATCCCATATATCTCTCCTCTTTCTGAAAACATGTGTAATGTATAACACCTATGGCCCTCCCACCCTCAAGAAGGGGTAGGTTGAAGGTGTCTTCTCTTCATTCAGTCCTATTTGATCTTTATAATTTTTTTTTACATTTTTAATTTTTTTGTTTATAATTTTTCTTTCCACTTACATTGTTATAATCATTTTGTGTATTGATTTCTCAGCTCTGGATTGCATATTTTAAAAAAAATTATGTTTTATGCAAGGATCCAAGACAACTCCAAAGGACTCATAATGGAAAAGGCTGTCCACATCCAGAAAAAGAAATATGGAGTCTGAATGCAGATCAAAGCATATTTTATTTTCTCTCTTTTTTTTTTCTTTCTTTTTTTTAAAATTTGTTTTTTCTTTCTCATGGTTACTCCTATTGGTTCTAATTCTTCTTTGCAACATGACTAATATGAAAATAGTCTATGAATGTATATGTAGAGCTATATAAAATTGCATGCCATTTTGGGATGGGTGAGGGGAGAGGTGGGGAGAAAATTTTGAACTCGAAATCTTATGGAAGTGAATGTTGAAAACTAAAAATAAATATAAAAAATTTTATTTTTTTCAATATTGGAAAATCTGCTTTATCTCTTTCTCTCTCTCTTTTGGCTAGGCAGTGGGGTTAAGTGACTTGCCCAGGGTCACACGGCTAATAAGTGTCAAGTGTCTGAGGCCAGATTTGAGCTCAGGTCCTCCTGACTCCAGGGCGGGTGCTCTATCCACTGTACCACCCAGTAACCTCCCCCACCCCATATGCTTTCTCTTACTTTCCCTCCCCTAGTTGACTGAGAATAAGATAAAAATAAACTCCAAGCAAAACATGTCTAAAAAATAAGTGTCTCGTTCAGCACTTCAGTCTTTTCCTTCTCTGTTCTCTCTCCTCCAGATCCTAGGCACAGGTCTTTTCCTTAGTCCACCCTGGATCTGTGACCCCAAACTGGCTAATGGACAATAAATTTTCCATTTGGCACCTGTTACTGTACTATTATGAGCCTGAGATTTCATCTTGCTTTGGTGCATAGCTTCTCTTTGCTCTGGAGTGTTCAGCAAAATACTCTGGTGTCCACAGGACACTGTATCTCCCTGTGCCGTCCTGGGCTGGTAAGGTACTCAACAGTGACTTTATTGTAACCCTTAAAAATTAACAAGTCACCATTGGAAGAGCACTGAGATTGGTGTTAGCAGAAAACTAGATTGGAATCCTGGTTTCTGTTCTTTGCTGTTTGACCCTGGGCAAGGCCTTAACATTTTTGAACCTGTTACCTCCTTCATAAAATAGGGATGGTAGTAACAACAACAGCGGCAACAATGCACTACCTGCTTCACAAAATTGTTCTCAAGAAAGCTTTTTCGTGAAGCTTAAAAATCAGCAAGTCAACGTTTAGCTGGTACTTGATATGTATACCTGGCATCCTGCCAATTGATGGAGGGATGCAAACACAGACATAAAGACAGTTCCTGCCCCCAGAAAGCTTACCTTCTAAGGGGAGAGGACCATATACAAAAAGGAGTTGAAAAGAGGTTGAGGGTGAGAAGTGCAAGAGACCCACACTGGAGTATGGTGAAATCTGGAGAGTCAGAAGTAGAGCTGGCAAAGGAGATGAAGGATGACTGACTTAGGCTTCTCTTCTGCAAAGAGGTTCGGAGAGAAATTGGCCAATTGGAAGAGAGGGCCTCAGGGGAGGACGGAGAACAGGCCACAGGTACTGCCAGAGGGAATGCACCTGAGACATGATGGTGAGTCAGAAGTAGAGTGGGGACAGGAAGACATTGTATTGATAAAGAAAAAGGACACAGTGAGATGTGTGGAAGGTGGAAGAGGGATTTACTAGTGACTGGTGTGTGTGTGTATATATATATATATATATATGTATATCTGGCCTCTTTATTCCCTGGGGCTACTTCCAAAAAACCTTTGGAAATTGACTTTACTCTGTCAAATGACTGAACTTCACTAGTAGTTGAGAACTACCATAACAAATGTGAGTGTATGCAATCAGATGTAGAGGGTGAGAGAAAAGTTACAGGTGTGGATCAGAGTACAGATGGCTGGATTTTATGTTTGTTTTCCCTGGTCTAAATGCTGCTAAAGAAAAAGAACACGACCTTTGGAATTACACTTAGTTCTCATTTAGATAATCTGCCAGAGATTTCTAAAGAAACATTGCTTTCTTGTTTGTCACTGATTTCATTTTGAGAATTTAGTTGTGTATTTTTTTTTAAGTTAGTGGTACATATTTTTTTAGACATACCGTGAGATCTTACTTATCTAAAGATTTTTCTCCCCTTCAAAACTTCTGCTAATTGGGAGAATACTGTGAAAATAAATCAGTCAGAACAGAAACTCTTGGTTGTAGCAGAATCATAGAAGTTTAGTATTATATGGTATTAAAATATGTTATGCTTTCTGGGTACTTGAGGGTCTTTTTTTTTTTTTGGTTACTCTTAAAGGTTTGGCCCCTCCCTCCCCCCATTATTATAGTAATGAAAGTCGGGGATAATATTTTATACATATCCACATACACACACATATATATATACGTTATATGTGTGTATACATACTGTGTATATGTGGGTATATACATCTTTAGTGTATATGAAATGGTGTATTATCCCTGATTTTCATTACTATAATAATGGGCAGTGAGGGAAGAAACTTAAGTCTCTGGAAAATTAGGGAGTACTTCACAGGCAGGCTTCATTGTAAATTAGGGGAAATGCAATAAGACAAGGAGATCATAGAAAGTTGAATGTTAGTAAATTAGATCATTAGGCAAAGTAGAAATACTTCTCAGACTGAAGGCTAAGTCCCTATTCAACACACACACACAGATGTTTAGGACACTGGAGGATACATGGTCTGTTCCTCTATTAGCTCACTGTGCTGCTTGTGTCTTGCAGCTGGCTGATGGGACGTTGGAGTTTGCTCAAATGAATGGGAAGCACTAGGAGCAGTGGATGGAGTTCTGGAGTTGGAAGGCTTGTTCAAATCCCACCTTAAATACTTTATAGCTCTGTGACTGTGACTGTCATTTAGCCTCTCTGCCTCAGTTTCCTTATCTGTAAAATGAAGGTGTATAATTATGGATTACATCAGATTTTGGTTGGGCTGTTTCTCAGTGCTGCAGACTGACTTAAACTAGTTCTTTAACAAAAGGAGATTTACTTACCTTTAATTTTGAGTTAAACTGAGTGAAGCCTCTGAGTTGTCCATGGTGATCTGCCAGCGAAGCCAAAGTGAGCAGATTACTGCTCCTCATTGCTTTTTTATACATAGGTGACTTGGAAATAATGTCAATAGCCTGAGCTTTTAGTCCCTGGAGCAATTGAGTCTCAAGGATGTTTTAAATACCTTTTAAGGAAAAATTAGCCTAACTTAACATGGAGGTAGGGAAGGAAGTGTTTCGGCTAATGGCTGTGTTAAGTATAGCAAGGATTAGGTAAGAGATGGGACTTTGACCTGAAAAGAACATCAGTACAGTTTAAGGGGGAAATCTCAGAGGTAAGGGATCTTTGCAGAAGAGAGCAGATATACTTAAAGTAAGCTGTATAAGCAATGTGAGTGAGCTTTGATACGTGCTTGTTGAATGACTGATGCACATTTAGTGCAGAGTTTTAAATGGGATATAGTGGGGAGTTTTTCAGTTCAAAGAGAAGAAATGGTACTGGATATCTGTTCTTGAGGAATTGTTCTATAATCTTTCTTGGGAAAAAAAAATCTAGGGATAGGGAGTAGTGCTTTCATTGGTTTAGTGAACTCCCAGATACAGAAACTCCCTTGATCAGTGTAGGTCGGCAGTCTCTCTGTGATTTATAGTCCTAGAGAGTTGCCTAGAACACTAAGAGGTTAAGGAACTTACCAGACTCATGTAGCCAGTAGGTAAAAGAAGAGGTGGGAGACTGAACTCCAGGTCTGTTGGTTTTGAGACTGCCTCTTTCTGTCATGCCAGATTGTTTCTCAATTGAAAATACCAGATTTAAGTCTCATTTCCTTTTTTGACCAAGTAACTCAACTGAGAGATTAGGGAAACGTTACTGAGACATAACATCAGCATTTCCAAAAGTCATTTGACAGTCTCACGATATCCTTGTCCACAAAAATGGAGAACTATGGGCTAGTATTATGGCTCTGTTAGGTAGATTTGGTTGAGTGACCAAACCCAAAGAGTGGTGATTAATGAATGCTGTCAGGTCTCTAACAAGGTGCCTGCAGGAATCTGCCCTTTGTCTTGTTTATTATTGATTTGAATAAAGGAGGGCATGCTTGTCAGAATCTGAGTTCAAAGAGATTTCACAGGCTAAGACAACTAAATGAATCTAAGTTAAAAAAATTAATAGGGATAAAAGTAAACGAAACCTTATGTTCAAGTTTTAGAAATGTGGAGTTTTATATACTACTGTAGGGCAGTGAGGTGGTGCGTTTGAGTGCCAGCCTAGAGTCAGAAGTTCAAATCTCGCCCCAGGCACTTACTAGTGTGTGACCCCGGGCAAGCCACTTAACGCTGCTTACCTCAGCTTTCTCATCTGTGAAAGAAGCTGGAGAAGGAAATGGCGAACCGCTCCAGTATCTTTATCTCTTAAACCCCGTACGGGGCCCTTAAAAGTCAAACGCTGCTGAAGTGACTAAGCAACAACTTTATGCTGCTGTACCACACATCAGTAGTGAGGTTAGGGGTTTCTTCTCACTGCTCAGTAAAAGACTATTATTTTGAGTCGTAGAGTACCTCAAAAAGCATAGTAAATTGAGATCCTCCTTTCCTTCCTTTTCCATCTCTTTTAATTGTATAGAAATAAGTCACCAGTGATTAATTCTCATTCGTCAATTAATATAAAAAATTTTGACTGATTGTTTTTGTAGTCTACAGAAGTTTTAATGCTTGTGGTTTGCTTTTTTCTTTGTAGAACACAAAGTAATAATAGTGGGATTGGATAATGCAGGGAAAACCACCATTCTCTATCAGTTGTAAGTATGGCTATTCAAACTGCTTTAATTGTATTTTTTTTGTGTAAACAGTAAAAATTGAGATACCTGTTATACAATTTAAAACAAATATCAAACTAGATTAAAATGTAATTGAGAAATGTTTAACAATAAATAAAAATATAATACACCATCGATAATAATGTTAATTTGTGCTCATCTAAGTCAATGTGCAGCCCTCCATTTCTATTTAAATTTGACACTACTGATCTAAAATATTTGAAAAGATATGATTGCGTATAGACTTTATTTTGCCAGATCTGAAATATCTCAAAAGCACAAAATAAATCAGAGCCTTTTTTTTTGCCTTTGAGGATTCTTGTTCCTTTTTGGAGTTTGTGAAAATAGTGTAAAACTGATAAAGCATACAGCTGTGTATCTCAGGGAATGTCTGACTCAAAGTACTGGCTGCAAGTAAAAAGTAGATAATAATAACTCACATTTCTGTAGTGTTTTGTGATCCTTCTAGCAGTCTTGTGAGGTTCATAGGTGTAGTAGCCAGACTATCCCCCACCACAGGTGGAAAGCATCGCTAAACAAAGCACTTAAAACTCTCTAACTGATTATGGCCCTTATCACATAAGAATATTTACTGAAGAGAGGTTCAGATCAGGATTACTCTTGCTTATAAAGTAGAGGTTGAAAATGTTTCAGTGGATGAATTTTTATACTTAATCTTGAAGAAATTAGAATACTCTGTCAAATCCATTTCTCAAAATAACCTCCATTTTCCTTTCACTGTCAATGAAATAGTAATCCTTGTGAAATTAATTAAGGTGTTTCATGTTGTAGGCATTTAACAGATAGATGTCATGTATTAGTGTGGATCTGCCAACTTTGTCTTCGTAGCTCCTCCATCATCATCAGTTTACTGTCAGCTTGACCATTTAAATCTCCCTTCACTTGTCCTCTAAAAAATTTTTCAGAGTTGTAGAATTTTAAATGCTACAAGGAACTTGAGGGATCATCTGATTCAGCCTCCTCATTTTATAATGGTGCGCAGTGAAGCCCAGCATTTTGAAGTGATTGATTTATCCAAGGGGGTACAGTTCACAGTAGTGGCAGGGCAAAAGCTAAAGTCTAGAATGCCTGCCTTCATGTCAGGGCCTGCATCTGACTGCCCTTCATTGTAACCTGCTTCTTGAGCTACATTTTTCTTGAAAGCAGCTTATGGATAGCACTTAATAGGGAAGAGTTATTCTAAAGTAAATGATTTCTTAGTCTTCAGATATTTTAATGTAATAATCTAAACTTTTAAAAAGTCTTTATTATTGTTGAAACTTTGAAATAAGTTTGAAGAGATGTAGACACCTCAGCAGTTCTACTTGCCCTACCTGATGCTTACTAATCATTGATCATGTAGTTGTGACATAGGGAAAATCAAATAACCTTAAAGAAACATAATATTGTAATTAATATTTTAGAAGATTGATCAAGGACTCTACCATAAACTTTGAGGAGTAGCTCTTTGACCCACATTAAAGTAATTTTCAAAATAACAAACCTGTTGTATACCTCTGACCAAAAAGCTTTACTAAATAGCTTGTATCTCTCTCTTCCCACAGCTTAATGAATGAAGTGGTCCATACCTCTCCAACCATAGGAAGCAATGTTGAAGAAATAGTTGTGAAGAACACCCATTTTCTTATGTGGGATATTGGTGGTCAAGAGTCACTGCGGTCATCATGGAATACTTACTACTCTAACACAGAGGTATATTAAAAAGTCACACCACACAAAATAGCAAACCCAAATATTTGACAGACTAGACAGTAATGTAGGTTTAGAGGATCCTCATATCCAAGCAAGCACCAAATATTTTTCTTTTTCTTTAAAGGCAATTGGGGTTAAGTGACTTGCCCAGGGTCACACAACTAGTAAGTGTCAAGTGTTTGGTCTGAGGCTGGATTCGAACTCAGGTCCTCCTGACTTCAGGGCCAGTGCTTTATCCACTGTGCCACCTAGCTGTCTCCTATTTTTTTTGCCTCTCAGATTAAAGCCTTTCTTTCCATTCTTAATACTCTACCAAGCTTTCTTCACATCACATTATACTTAACTGCTGTTGCCTTCTAGTTGATGGACTCATGGAATGTTAGGGTTGGAAGGTAGCTAATGTTTAAGGCCCTTTTAAATAAATACATTTGGGATCAGCTCGAAGACTTAGAGACAGAAAGGACATTATTAATAAAAATAAAATAGCAGTGAAAGTCCACTTCAGTGCCTAATTGTAGTGTGGGAAATAAATATTTCCGTTTTCCAAGTTGTTCATTTGTAATTAGGCTTAGAATTTTATTAGGTGGGGTAATGGGTTGGCTCTTTAAGACTAAGTGCCCTGTTGTCACCCATAGTATTTTCCTGTAGAAAGAAGGAATTGTAACTAGAGATCTTCTTTCAGAGTGAAGTCAAGAATATTTATGTTAGTTACAGTTCCTTTTTTATGCTAAGACTTTTTCCTGACAATATGTGTATTTACTACAAAATGGATTTATATTCAGACTGAGAGAGAACTAAGCAAAGGCCTTAACTTCAGGGCGGCTTAATCTCTATTTCTGCTGTCAGGTGGAGTTTTGCCACGCTGGCCGATGTTGTAAAGGGAGTAGGAGAAGAACAAAAGTTTTTGGAATGGGACGCTATCTAAAAAGCTCAGCAGCTGGCGCTTTTATCGAGAGCACAAAAGTATCTCCAGCTGGGAAGAGAACACAGTGCAGTCGTAAAGGTGCCTTTGATGAGTAGGTCAGAGTTGACTACAGCTGATCAGTGTTGTGTTAAGGAAGCAAACAAAGCATTTCAGAGGGTAATTTTTGAAATTGCCGAAGCTCTGAAAGATTTTTGAATATAGTGTGTGTTCAGCTCTCAGACACAGAGATTGTTTGTTACTATGTCACCTCCTGTCACAGAGTGCTTTTTAAATGGGTAATAGGTGTCTACAGATGTCAAAATTATTAAAGATAATTCACTCTAACACACTGTGTTGACCTTTATTGCCAACACATTAACTAATATACAAAATCTTTATGACCCTGAGGTTGGCTTATCTCCTGGTGCTTTCAGTAGTCCCCAGATACTTTCTGTAGACTTGTATGTCAGCCATTCATCCTTTTACATTGACATGTCATCCAGTGTCTCTATTTGTCTTTTGTTAAAATAATATTTATCTTGAATAATGACAATAACAACTGCTAATTTTATTATTGGAGAGATTTTTTTATATGACTTAATGAATTATCTGACTCCTCATTTGTCCCTCATATAAATTCAGACACTGAATATCATTTTTCCTTTCCTTCTCAGATTCAGTTCTTATTTTTTCCATTGTCATTGTTAAACACATTATTCTAGGCTTTCATCAGATCACACTGTAGTTGCCTTTTAGTTCATAAATTCGTGGAATGTTATAGTTGGACTTTAAACATTACTTACTCCAGCTCCATCATTTCATAAATGAGGAAAGTGAGGCCGAGAGAAGGCTAATTGACTTGCCTGAAATCACAAAATCACTAGAAAGTGGCAAAACTGCAAATCAAGGTTTCTTGACTGGTATATTTTCTATTGTCATACGGTTTTCTTTCCTGCTTTCTATCTTAATTGAGACCATTCTGGTTGTAAATGCCATCTTCCTACAACATTATTTTCCTTATTAGTCCTTTTCTCCTTTTTTTTAATGGTTTTTTTTTTTGTTGTTGTTGTTTTGCTAGGCAATGGGGTTAAGTGACTTGCCCAGAGTCATACAGCTAGTGAGTGTTATATGTGTCTGAGGCCAGATCTGAGCTCGGGTACTCCTGACTCCAGGGCCAGTGCTTTATTCACTGCACCACCTAGCTGTCCCCTACTCCTTTTTTTGTTTTTGTTTTTTAGGCAGTTGGGATTAAGTGACTTGCCCAGGGTCACACAGCTAGTAAGTGTCAAGTGTTTGGTCTGAGGCAGATTTGAACTCAGGTCCTCCTGACTTCAGGACTGGTACTCTATCCACCTCCCCCCCCAGCTTCCCCTCCTACTCCTCTTTTTTTTTTTAAAGAACTTAACAGTGGCTCTCTCTTATTTATCATATTAGATTTAAATTCCTTTGCCTAGCTTTCAGGGTTAAGTTATTTAACCTAATTCATCATCACGTACCACCAGTTTCAAAGAATGTACTTCCCGTCCTTTAATGTCTTAATTCAAGACGTACCTTGCCATTAAATCTTCCCTGCCTATTCTGGCTCACATAGAAAAGTAGTAAGGGTACTGGAAAGAGCCCTAGGTGAAGAAACCTGAGTTTAGATTTTATCTTTGACAGTCATTTTAGCTGTGTGACAATCAGCAAATGACTTAACTTCTTTGAGCCTCAATTCCTCACCTGTAAATTGGGATAGTAATAGCTAGAGTCTCTGCTTCATAGAGTTGTTGAGGTAGTCAAATTGCTTATGGATTTCTTACTCTCCTCATTTCATTAATGCTATTAAGCACTTTAACAGCCATAACCAATTTCCTTTACTTTGTTTTACTAAACTCTTACCTCTTCTTGTCGTCTGTTGTCTTTAGCAGGGTTTTTGTACTTTACCTTCATCTCTTTGTCCTTAGGTGCTTCTCAAGTCTTTCTCTTTTTCTTTGATGTTCGTGGAGGATAGAGTTAGTATGGAGAGAGTATAGTCTAAGAGATAGAGAGTTGCCTTCAGTGTCAAGAAGATCTGGGTTTTGTGACCCTGGGCAAAGATATTTAACCTGTACTCCAGATGACACTGTAAGGTCATTGTAGTGTACTTGTTGATCTGCCTGGGAGTTGCCTAATGTGGAGGAAACAAATAAAGTTGCAGGTTTAGATGAGAAGAAAAAAGATTATGCTACAATCCCACATTTATGTAGTACTTATAGTCTCTACAGAGTCCTTTCTGTACAGGAGCCCTGTGATATATCAGGTATATTAAAGAATTGTTACTCTTTATTGGAAAACTAATTCTACTTTCCTTAGGTATATTAACACATGAGGCTTCTTAAAACTTTTATCATTTTTTCAGTTAGTTGATAACATTTTTTCTTTTCTTTTTTTTTTGTTTTTTAAATTTTTTTTTATTTTTAGTTTTCAACATTTGCTTCCACAAGATTTTGAGTTCCAAATTTTCACCCCATCTCACCCCTCCCCCCTACCCCAAGATGGCATGCATTCTGAATACCCTTCCCTCTAGTCTGCCTTCCCTTGTATCTTCCCCCCACCCCCTTCTCTTATCTCCTTCCTTTTCTGTTTTCCTGTAGGGCAGGATAGATTTCTGTATCCCATTTCCTGTATTTCTTATTTCCCAGTTGCATGTGAGAACATTTTTTTCTAAACATGTGTTTTTAAAACTTTGGGTCCCAAATTTTCTCCCTTCCTCCCTCCCCACCCACCCTCATTGAAAAGGCAAGCAACTCAATATAGGTTATACATGTGCAGTTATGCAAAACACTTCCATAGTAGACATGTTGTGAAAAACTAACTCTGTTTCCCTTAATCAGATCCTGCTCCCCACATTTATTCTTTCTCTTGACCTTGTCTCTCCTCAGAAGTATTTACTTCTGGTTACCCCTTTTGCCAGTCTGCTCTCTTGTCCCCTTCCCCCCTAATTTTCCTATAAGACAGATTTCCATACCCAATTGAATGTGTATGTTATTCCCTCCTTAAACCAAATCCTATGAGAATAAGATTCACTCATTGCCTCTCACCTTCCCCCATTTCCCCTCCACTGTAAGAGCCTTTTCTTTTCTGTTTTTGGTGAGATAATTTAGCCCTTTCTACCTCTCCCTTTCTCCTTCTCCTAGTACAATCCTGTCTTCCCCCTTAATTTTATTCTCCAGATATGACCCCTTAATCTTCAACTCACCCTGTGCCCTCTACCTATCTATCTATATACATACATATGATTTTTTCCTTCTAACTACCCTAATATTGACAGAGATCTCATGGGTAGTTGATAACATTTTTAAAATGCGAATGTCGTGTAAAACACTATCTCAAAAATGAAATTTGGTGATGCTATGTTTTATAATTATCTGATAGTTATAGAAAGAAGAAAATTGTTAGGATTTACCTGTTACTGTCTCATATAGAAAGATATTATGACATAGGATCAAACAAGAAAATCCTAATGCTTAAGGAATTGAGGAACCTGAAAGTCATACAAATAAATTTTCTCAGGTCATTTAAAAAAAAAAGATATTTAAATATTTAAATACATTTTATAAATGCTAAGTAATCTTTTGTGATAAGGTTAATTAGTAACTATAATAATGGTGATATACCATATGAAAATAATATTTCTATAACTTGATAATGGATTTGGAGAAATTTTTTTTGTATATTGCAGTTCTAACCTTGAGTTTTAGAAATAATAATGTAGTTATCAGATATGTCTGTCTACAAATGCATAAGTTCACTCTAACATGCACTTTCATTCCTAAAGTTCTAGTGTGATTTTATAAAGTTGATTGAAGATCTCATTTAATGTGTTAAACCAGTAGTAAATCTTGCCAGCTTTTTATTTAAATACAAGGAAAAATGCTAGTGGTTGGATGAGTGTGTGTGTGTGTGTGTGTGTGTGTGTGTGTGTGTGTGTTGGTTATTTTCACACAGTTGTTGTATGTTATGTAAGCGATAAACTTATAATTTCTTTCTAGTTCATCATTCTGGTTGTTGATAGCATTGACAGAGAACGACTGGCTATTACTAGAGAAGAGCTGTATAGAATGCTGGCTCATGAGGTAAAAAGTAACTTTTTAAAAAAAATGACCTCAGTTACTAGTCACATAGAACATTGTCTTTTCTCCATTGATTTTGCTGGATAGTTATGTTTTGCTGGATAGTTATGTTTTGGTTAGCACGATGTGATATTGCTTGGTAATTGTGCCCCTAAAAGTAACAGATTCATCACTATGATTGAGAAGCATAAATAATCGGTTAGAAGTTGTAAAAAAAGGTTAATTTATAGATGTCCAGTAAATGGTTTTTATTATTTTAATTTTTTCATATTCTCCTCTTTTAGTGTCGTCCTTCTCCAGTGTTACATGCTGGCCTGGATAGCACCCTGAATTTCCAAAGGCTATTAATAATAGCATTATATTGAAAGTAGCCAACAGGTCCTCCTTCAAGTAAGGACCCAGTAGTGAGCTCTGTGTCTTTGTCTGAGGACCAAAGTAGGCTAAGTTTGGAGAGTCTCATTCTGGAAGGTTAACCACTGGAGAATGACTGTTTTTGGCTATGACAGTACAGTCTACTTGAGGTAGTAGAGGAGTTGTAATCTATTTTGGTAAGAGGAGTTGCTTCCACTGATGAAACTGATAAATCTCAAAGTGTTTCTTTTGTTGGGAAAATGTTACAAGCATATTTAATGCCCCAAATAATCTGCTACTTTATGGTTGAGAATTTTATTGTATCTCCCCAAGTTAGTTTGTCTTCTTTATCAGCATTTGCACGCAGTGAAATAGATTATGTATTTCTTTCTCAGTAAGGCAGTATTCTAAGATTATGATTAAAACCAGAATTGTATGCTATAGAAAGAAATAGCTTTTGAACTGATTTTTTTTAAACTTCAAAAGAATTGGCGAAATGTTTGACCACATTAAGAGTAGAATATTAATTCCAGTGGAAGTAATTACTCTTATGTTTTAGTGTTGTCATTGAAATTTGACGCATTGAAAGATTCAGCATATGAGAAATGAATTTAATGCATAGTCTACCCATTATTAACTCAGAACATCTTTAAAATGAGCGTTGGCCATTTGGTAAAACTTATTTTGGCTATAATAAGTTTAAAAAAATTAAATGTTAACTACCTGATAATTTCAAAATAGAATAAATTTTTGTAACTGAAAAGATACTCTGTATTACTTTGTCTTTCCCCAGTACAGTACTCTGCACACATAGGAGCTTATTAATAAATGCTTATATCCCATTTTAGTTCTTAGATTTTCTTAATTGTTACATTTCAACTATCAGAAATATTTTTATTGTAGGATTTACGGAAGGCTGCTGTTCTCATCTTTGCAAATAAGCAGGATATGAAGGGGTGTATGACGGCAGCTGAAATCTCTAAATACCTCACCCTTAGTTCTATCAAGGATCATCCATGGCATATTCAGTCTTGCTGTGCCTTAACAGGAGAAGGGTAAGCACTACTGCTTTGTAAAGAGACCTAACTAGATGATATTACTATTTTAATTTCTCATTTCTTCTTAAACTTTCAGGACATTCTATTGATCTTACTCCTTTTATTTCTCTTTGTATGCAGGTTATTTTTATATTCTTTCTCAAATATTTTCAGTTACCAATTTAATGAGGGTGTTTTTTGTAGTTCTTGCCATAAATATTCTCATCTTTAAAAAAATATATTTTTAGGTATATCAGTGAAGCAAGTTTGAAACAGTTCTCATCTGTATAGTTAACATTTCATATTATAAAGTCTTGTCTGCTGTCCAAATCATTCTTAAATTAATAATAATACCATTCTAGGTCAAATTTTTATTTATAACGGATATCTTTTAAGTTTATAAAGCATGTTACATAGATTACTCCATTTGAGCCTCTTAGGAGCTCTATGAAGTAGGTGCTATAGGTATTAACTCCATTTTACACATCAGGAAACTAAGGCTTAGAAAGGTTAACTGACTTGCTGACCTCTTAACATGTGAGTTATATGTTACTTTTTGCTTCTGTTATTTAATTTGTGTCATTTTTATTCTGGAAGAAAATGATGGAGAGAGTGTCATATCAGTGTGGTTCTTCAGGCTGGATATAGCCTAAGATTGAGCATTCCTTATCATTATTTCAGATCCACTTTATACTGTACTCTTGAGTCACTTCTTTAGGGAGGAAGAGCAGTATGAGTTACTGTGTATGTCTGTTTATTTTGGATGAACTTTCCTAGAGACAGGCTGGTTTTGTGAAAAGAATGCTGGAGCATCTTCCTGCTGGAGCAGGAGGAGAGCAGACAAAACCTAGCTCCCAGTTGTAGCTCTGCTGCTGTCAGTCTAACATGATACCTCTCTGAGGTTTTTGTTTCCTCATCTGCAAGATAAAAGGATTGAATTAGATGGTTTCTGAAGTCTCTTCTTGTTCTAAAATCCTCTGGTTTTTAATCATCATTAAAACTGGCTTTGGAATAGAGGAATAATAATAATGAAACCAGCAGACTTCATAATTACATTAGTAGTTATATTGCTAACTGACAAAATACCTGACATCATTAAAAACTGATTTCACATCATCCTCCTTCCATAGGGACCTGTCCTTGATGAAGTATAGGTTATCTTAGTCAGTTTGGTGGTACCAGTATGGTATGGAGCAGCCAACCCAGAGGGCTCACAGGAAGCCATGTCAGTCCCACAGAGTAACCTCATTTCTTCCAAACGTGAACTGGAAATGAGCTGAAACCCTTCTGAACTTAGCTAAAACTACATCTTTTAGACTATGCCATAAGCATTATTACATTTCTCAGTCCAACATAGTTGCTTATACATCTTTCTTTTTTTGATGGGGTGTGGCCTCTGATTTACTCCACCAGTAAGGATCTATACCAGTTCTGCACCTTATAGTTTTAGAGTTGTCCACAAGTCCCTCATATTACCTTAAATATTAGAGGTGGCTGTCATCACTGTGAGTAAAAAACACTAGACATGGAGTCAGGGAGACCTAAGTTCAAATCTTGCCTCGGATAATAGCTGTCTGACTCTGGACATACTACTTAAATCTCTTCTAGCCTCAGTTTCCTCATTTGTAAAATGGGGATAATAATAGTACCTGTCTCGTAGAGTTGTCACAAGGATCAAATGAAATAATGTGTAAAGTTCTTTACAGACCTTAAAGCACTATATAAATGCTAGCTATTACTATTATTATTACTGTAGATAACAAGACAAGAATAGTATTAATAGTTTAAACGGAGACTCAGAAGTTAACTGATTTGCCTGTGGTTGAACGAACAAAAAGTATTAGACCAATCTCAATGCTAGCACTGCTGACTTTTCTATATGCTGTGACTAATAGATTTGAACTTCTTGAGAAAGCCATTCAGCAGGCCATTCTATCTTCTATTTTTGAAGATGAAACTGAAGGAAATTTCTCACCAAGTTGAATTAATAAAATCACATGATTTTGTTGAAGTGAATCTTTCGCTTTGATATTCTTTTTTTCACATTTATCATACATGAATGTCAAAGTGTTCTAATATGGCAATAGTATCAATGTTGGATTAAAAACTGTAAAAAAAAAATCAGAGCTCAATTTTTAAGTAAAAAGCTTTATTTTTCAAAGTAGTTGCATTGTCATCTCTGGTTGTTTTCAGGTTATGCCAAGGTTTAGAATGGATGACCTCCCGAATTGGTGTGAGCTAACTTTGTGTTCAAGAAGGACTGCTTCTATTTATTCTGTGGACACGGACATACTTCCTGGTACTTTTGGCTGCTCAGGCAGCGGCATGTTTAATTTATAACAACACAAACCTCTGTGAGCAACACTTGAATCAAGTGCAGCCGAACTGGAACCTGAGATTTTTCTTAACATTTTAAAAATGCACTAATCCTCCGCTGGATGAAAGTAATGTGTCTGTGTTTCAGCAACAAAGTTCTCCTGACTACTTATCCTAATGCATTTGAGGATGGCCTTGCCAGAAACATTTGTCATAATATTTTATACTTTCTGTAACATTGAAAACATACTATTTATCTGAACCTAACATGCCCAGTTCTTTTCATTTATTAATTTTTAGGCAAATGTTGATCTGGAAGAGCACTAGAAATCACAGACTAATGTTTGCAGATTTTTTGGGGTCTAAAGATTATCTCCTTTTCTATATTATCCATCCTTTGTGCACAGAATTTTAACCCAATGAAAAATATGTATGAGTGATATCTGGAATCCTAAGAGTTGTGACAATTTACCCACCAGTGGGTAAATATCCTCACCTCAATGCATGTCATAGAAGAATTTGTTAAATTCTTAGTATGGCTTTTTAAGATTTCATGTCCTTGTTCTTGGCCTATAGAATTATGATTAATTTTCTATGTATATGACTTGGGGAAAGGGTATATATATATATATATATATATATATATATATATATATATATATATATATATATGATATATATATATATGATATATATATATATATGATATATATATATGATATATATATATATATATATGATATATATATATATATATGATATATATATATATATATATATATATATATATATATATATATATATATATATCATATATATATATGATCTTAGAGTTGGCCAAAACACTGAATCAGGATGAAAGATTATTTGAGAGTGAAGGTTTGATATAAAGTTTGGCAGCTCTTTCTGACATTGTATGTATAAATGCCACATTAATTAATACACATTTATATAGGAAGTCATGAAAGCATACCAGCACTAAATTGAAACAGATCACTTTAAAACATGTTTTACGATCAGAGACAGCCATAGAAACAGCAGCATTTTCAAGTGTTCAGTGTATAAAGAGCAACAGCACAGCTCTAAGTTGTATAATCGGGGCAATATTATAGCCTAAATGAATAAATAGGCCATTTCATAATTGATCATATATAAAGTATGTATGTCTACAATAATATGTCTACCACCAGCAGTACATTACATGGAAAGTGTGTGGCTTTTAAAAACCTGTTTTGAGGTTTTTATTAAAATAGGTTTGAAACAATTGCCATGTGGGTAGTTGGCCTTCATATTCTAAAGCCTTACTTTCTACTATCCAAATTCCAGGCAGCTGCTGAAATTAATGCAAGTGTTCATCAGATTGCTTTTAGATACACAGTTAACATGATAGCATTTATTAATCACGTGATGTTTAAAAAAAGGAAAAAAGTAACACCCCATCAGTTGTCTGATTTACTAAACAGTAATAAAAATGAAAAGTTTTCGAGAAGTAGGTACCTGTTTTGAAAATGACACCAAACACTTAAGTTGAGGAGGGGGGGATATAGAATTTCAGTGTTACTTTTTTCAAGTTATTTTTGCTCAACTTAAAAAGGCCAAAATGCAAACTTTTATTATCAAAGAATGCCACTTTAATTCATCAGTATTTAATTTATTTGGGTAAAAAAGATTCAGTATTCATAAGAATATTAGGATGGGCGTTCAAAACTGATCTCTTAAATTTGAAACCCTTCCATTTAAAATTTAAGCCAGTCCTTTATTGTTTTGAGCTGTAATGGCTCTTGCACGTAGTTACTGTATTGAGTGACGCTTCATTGATTTCCGTTTGGTGACAGCACACACTAGAACTGAGAATGTTCGTTGTGAAGGTTCTCACCCTTTAGGAATCAATTTCTATTTTCATCTGCTGTCTAGTTTTCCAATTTGTGTGTTTTGAACCTTTTTCTTAGAATTTTATGCTTAGTGGGAAAAATGGTTTTTAGGATAATCAAAACCATAAGAGGGAAGGAAAAGCAAACAAATTGATATGCATGCTTATGGGGTAAAATTGTAAATACCATTTCAGCAAAAGCACACCATGCCTCTGGTTTTTTTCTACTTCGGTTACAGTATTTATCTAAGTAAACAGTGGGAAAGGAAGTTTTTTTCTAAAACTCTACAGCATATTCAGTACACCTATATCTGTTCTTAAATGAAAAGTTGGTATACTTATTGCCTAAGAGATAATTAGCTGGCTTAATTTTCTGTCAAACTGTAAGATTTAAAATTTTATCAGCTTTACATTGAAATGTTTGAAATAGTTTATTATATTTTGGTGAACATCTGCCCATACAAAGTTGTCATTTCTTTAGAAATACAATATGGCTTTTATTTTCTAGATTCTATTTTAAAATGTTGTTTGGGACTGGAAATTGTTTCATGTTGATGGGGTATTGAAAATGACAATTCTGTTAAGATTCTATGTCAACCTTTGGCAAAAGTTCAACTTTAAAATTCACTCAGAACTTTACAGTTAAAATTTAAATTAGACATTTTATTTCACAGTAATGTAAAATTTAGTTATCCTTTACTCCAAGAGAATGTTTTGGCACAAAAGTGTAGTAAGCATACCATTCACTGTAATTCATCATTAGTCTTCAGCATTTTATTGTGAACTGGTGTAATAGGAAGGATGTCTTCATAATTACTTAGTGCCTTGACTCATATTTTAGTCAAATTATATTTTCAAAGAAAAACAAATTTAAAGACTGATGCCCAACATTATACTTTTTAGAGGTTGTACAGAGAAAAAATTTTTTTGCAGTTAGCTTAACTCCCATTAATCTAATAAATGAACTGATTTGAGTTTTACATTCCTATAGTACTCTTCCTGTATTACTCTAATGACACTTCTTACAAGCAGTGGAAAAGGGAATTGAGAGTCTCACAAAATCCATGAAAGTGTGTTTAGTTTAGTTATATTTTGTTTTCAGGTAGAGGATGAAGAAATAAATTCTTGACCATGGATTCATATATGCTGTTATAAATGATAATTAAACTTCCTTATACATTTGAAGACTCGGTAGGGGTAGGGATGGTTTTTTTTTTTGAAAGTCATATTTTCTGTCTTAAAACCCACAATTCCTTAACAAAGGAAGGTCCTATGAGGAGTCTTTTAGCAATTAACTACCACTCTGACTGGTGAAAAAGTAGTTTTGACCCCTTTGTAGTCATAAGGCATAGTTTACATTCTAAAATGTAATATGACTCCTTTTATATCCAAAATTAAAACACTTTTTAATAATATCTACATTATAATTTTGACTTCTTGAATTGATTTTGACTAGTGTAATAATACTTTTCTTTTCATGTTCATTTGTGAGAAGGTAAGATTAGTGAGAATGATCTTCCTATGCATCAAATGTTCTTGTGAGAATCAAAGTCTACTGGTCCCCTGTGATTCACTACATTACTGAAAGTATCTTGAAAACAATGACCCTGGTTCATAGCCTTTTTAGTTGAACATAATACATTTTTCTGAACCTGTAATGCAAAGAGAATACGGTTTGTTTCCTGTGGAAACAGAGCCTTGTACGAAATAGCTTTAGGCTCTTAGACTGTTGATGACAACAATACAACCTTTTTGGATCATACGCAGAAATTTCAGTGAGTTCTATTCTTTTGAAATGAGGATGCTAATATGAAGTACACAAAAGTCACTAATGGTGATTTTTAGGTATTTTTGAATGTTTTTAGAAGTACATTTAACAGTGTCCTCATCTAATTCTTGACTCTATGTGAAGTGTGTGCGTGTAGTAGGAAAAACTGGGCACATGCCTGTGAGTGGTTACGTTCATTGGAATTTACCTTGTGAAACGTGACTACTTGAGGCTGAGTTGCACAGTACATCTAGAAATGTTCAAATTTTAGCCTTACTTTTTATCCACTTTTAAAGTGCCCTTTAAAATGTTTTCAGAGGCAAGAATATTTACACATTTACTTTAAGATGCAGATGTCTTTTAAGACCAGATACTGATATAGGGGAAAAAATGTTACATGAAATGCAACTGGCTTCTCTGCTGATTTATTCAAAGCCCCTTGTCCTTTGATCTCATTTGGTATTTGTCTATAGTAGATGAAGCAAACATGAAATAATCAGTTGATATCCACTATGTAATGTACGTGCATGTGATTTTTGTCTCACCGAACAAAGTCATCACGTTGTTGAAAAAAGATTTCAAAACTGTTTGTAAAGCAGCAATATTATTTGCAAGCACTGTGCGGAAATTTAATTTTTCTTCAATGTTTCCTTGTTGGAGTACAAATGGCACTTTTGGCTTCATAGAATGTGGATTCTAGCCCTAAAAGCCATTCTGTTTGGCTCTTGCCAGCTCGTAAGAACTTCAGCATGGGTGTAAAACCAGCATTTTAAATTTGAGATTATGTCTTACACTGATGGGATTTCATATTTAGAAGTTGTCCTAATGGCGTCCTTCTTGTCTCCATCTCCTTATCGTTAGGAAGACTTGCCCCTTTTTATGCTTGCATGCTTGTTTTAAGCACCTAATGTTTCCAAAGGTAGTATTCTCTTAGAGCACTCAGGACTATGAATTAGTTACATAGGGCCAGACTGAAGAGCATAATAACAACTGTTAACGTATTCAAAGTAAAAATAATGTTAAACAGAAATAGAAACAACTGTCTAAACATGTGGCAAGGTAGATATTTGGAGATTTAAAGTAAAGTATCTGGAAACTCAGATCAAATCATATTAACAAGGACACTGTTAAGCAGAATACAAAGGTAAAGAAGGATCATAGAAGGATCAAGGGCATATTAGAAAATTTTGTTCATGGGAGTAATGAATCTCTCCCTTTAGAGGCACTTAAAATTACTGAGAAGCGCAATCTTTTAGTTCAGAACAAAGTAACCGTAAAATGTCTTTTTTCCCCCCTGCATATTTCTGCATGGCAAGATGACAGTAAAAAGCAAGTGTTTAAGGATTTAGCAGCATAGTCACACCAAGAGGCATCCAGTGCATTTTTGTCAGAAAGCCACACACATACTTGTCTAATAAATGTAGACTGAAGTAGTGTTCTCTGCTCATCTCTTGAAATAGAACATGTGTTTTGGTGGCAAATGGAAGTCACAAGAATTTTTATTGTATGATCTTGTAGGGTTTTGAGTCGTAAATTTACCTCATTAATCACCAAGTGGTGCTTTGATCAAGTTATGGCATATCATGTGAATTTTGTTTTTAAAACTGCATTTGAAACAGTATAACTTTTAAATTAAGAGAGAGTATACCTTTTTTTTAAAAAAAATTGCATGTCCAAGTAGTGAAGTTTACATATACATCAATTTTTAGATAAATTAAGACAGGAAGTACTCAATAATTAGTGAATTGAATGAACAAATTTTCAAAGATAAGACAAATTATAAAGCTTTTGCTTCATTTCTTTTAGAATGTATTTCCCCCATGTTTGTGAGGAGGTGTCAAATGAGTATCAGTTTATCTCCATTCCTACAAAGCTCATTTGTTTATTTCAGTCCTTTAAAAAAAATTTCATTTATCTGTAGCAACTCTTAAATGCAGGAAATATGAATCCCTGATATGTTCTCTTGGAGTAAATTGTTCAGTACAGGTGTAGTGACTGAGGTTTTTATTT